ATATATATATATATATGTATATATATGTCTGTATATAAGTACGTAATAAATACAGTAAATAATAAAAATAATAGTAAAAGCGTCAATAGCCTAATTGTTAATGCCCTAGCATATAGCTTAGTTGGATTCAAGTAAAAAAAATTACAATAAACAAAAAGAAAAAAAATCGTTTTTAAATGTTGGTTGCATTGTGTTTAAATCATTGAATTAATGATTATGTAAAAGTTCAAATATAGCAGAGAAAAATCCCACTCCCTTTATTATAAACTTTTCATCTTTATTGTGTGAAAAATAAAAATATAGAGCGTCGGTGGCTCAGTGGTTTGAACACTTGACTTGTAATCTACAGGTCTTGAGTTCGAATCTCGCCGTACCAATCTGATTTTCGATTTTCCGAATTTTCATATGTACATAATTTACCCGACGTTCTTACAGTGAAGGAAAACATCGTGATGCCTGCACATATCGGCGAACAAATTCAAAGATATGTGTGAAGTCAACCCGCAGTGCAGGGTGACTATGACCTAGTCACTAACTTAGGGTAGGCTCCGAGCCCCTCGGTTGGGACGTATAGTGAGCTGGTGATGATGATGAGTAAATTAAACATAGATCAAGGGAAAAAGAAAGAAAAAAAAATTAAATAATCTACTGGATGTGAAAGAGAAGACTGATGTTAAAAAGCATCATCATACATTTTAGGGTTAAAAAGTGAATTCAGATATGACGGCTGATAGAGATGTATGGAACATACTGTGCTTCCTATAGGGACAAGTGACATAATTTCATTATTACCTTATTAGACAATCCCTCAACAGCCTCTTTAGTTGGCAATGTCTTCATGATAACCACTATATCAGCAACATTCTTGCCAGCCATCATTGTGCCTTTCTTATATGATCCTACTTGACGGACTTCTTCTAATTGCTGGAAAACATGAAATATTATGAATGCAAAAGTTTATTACTTAGAGTTTGTAGCCTAAACTGCTGAATAGATCTCGAAGAAATTTGTCATAGATATAGAGGATAGTCTGGAAGAATGCATAGGTAACTTGCTTTTGTTTTTTTTTTTAATTCAGCTGACAGTGTTGTGGCAAAACCTTGCATACAATAATAAAAGAAAACTACCAAGATCTAACCAGTTAAGTAATTTGTCAAAATTCTTCAATATTTTTTAAAATATCTATACTAATATCATAAAGAGGAAGGTATTTTTGTATGTATTGAAATAACTTATAAACTGAAGCAATTTCATAAATTGTTTCACCATTATAAAGCTATGATATCACCAAATACATTTTTAGTTTTATGTAATTTCTCACAGATGTCGGGACCGACAACTAGTTTAAAATATAATCAATGCATATTACTCACACACGCAACAAAGTCTCCTGGAGCTACAACCAGGTTATCCAGCACTGTCTGCAGCTTTGTCACCAAGGAGAGGACCGATGCCTGCTCTGACGGAGTGGGGCAGAGCTCTGCATGGCGTTTGAGAAGTGCCTGTATGTTAAGTATTATTTACTTATCATTGTAAAGCATTGGATCAGGGGTTAGCACTTGACTTGTAATCTACAAGTCTTGGGTTTGAATCCTTATGTACCCATGTGATTTTTATATGTACATAATTTACCCAACATTCTTATGGTCAAGGAAAACATACTGATGCCTGCACATACATGCAAAGAAATTAAAAAATTTGTTCAGTCGACTGACAGTGGTAGAGCCCGCTTTAACATCTTCGCACGAATTGGTTGGCTCGCCCGGTGTAATACTACGACCACACAGAAAGCAGGCGTGAAATGGAAGCTATTCGTGTTTCGTGTGATGAATGTGGTGCCGGAGGCCTAATTTTAGTTCTTTTCCACCCTTTTCTTGATAATAAATAAAGGATGGAAAGGAAAAGTGGATTTGACGGTGGAGGAGACGAACAAGGATGGGGAATATCCTCTTTATGCGCGCCTCCTCCGCCGTCAATCAACGGTAGGCAACGCATCTGCAATTGTGGATGTCTATGGGCAGTGGTCCCTTTCCATTTCGGTTGATTCAGGTGGCCGCTTGCTCGTTTTCCGCCTAATGATATTAAGAAAAAAAAAATGGCTGTTGGCCAGTGTGTTAGACTATGGCATAGTCATCCCTAAGGGGAGACTCCAAACCTCTCAGTGGGGATGTATAGTGAGCAGGTATTTATTATTCACACTCTTTTAATTAAGAACTGTGTATTTCTTGATGATCGGGCTATTTCCAGTGCTCCTCTTGTGTGCCTCTTGATAGGGATAATACCCAATTTCTATTTGCTTATTCAAACAAAGATATTTTTATTTTTATTTGCTTTTTACATGATTTTAACTATGGGTCATTATATGTATTGGTGTCATCGCACTCAAGTAATATATTTTTTTTAACTAGTTAATGATAAATACAATAAAGGTCTTAGTGATTGGTGGCAAACATACAATCAGTGTTTCCTATATAACATTTTTATAAAAATTAGGATAACAGTTGAAATGTTAATATTGTAACCGAAACAATTTTTTTAGGCAAATTTACCAAGTAACCCTCACTTATTTACTAATTATAGAGTTAATCTATAATTTATTTTAAAAAATTAAGTCTATTATTGATCAAAACATTACTGTGACAGATTAATCGTAAAAGTAGAAATAACCACCTGAGTTAGCGCAGAATCGTCAGGCGCTGGTTTGCATCTGGGAAACGCTGGTTCTGCTAGAATTAAGTCGAAAGGAGGTCTTAACAACATCACTCGCGGTCTGTTAAACGGAGGCCTACCCATTCCACCGCGCCCCGGCATACCACGACCTCCTCTTCCAACACCACGAACCATAATATATTTGTTATTTTTACAATGCAATGTAAATGAGAATAAGAGGTTATCAGTATTTTACACTATAAACACTAAACACTTGTATGCACACGTATAATTCTGATTAGGAAAGAAGCTTGATAATCAGTTCAATAATATAGACACAAATATAATATTATTGTATTCTTTGAGACAGACGCGGCTTTGTTTTTCGAAAAAGAGGTTAACAATGTTGCCATGTGTGTCTCCGTAAAGTTACCTATTTTTTTCTAAAGTAAACAATAATAAATCAATTTATTTCACGTAAGTATTCCTGAATAATTTCTTTAAACTGTACTAAAAAATATACAATCCTAATTAAAACTACTATTTTTTTTTAGCAACAAGTTTTATTTAACTGAACGCATCAGTTATTGTTTTGACGTTTCTTATTTTCGATTCCTAAAATGACGTGGAGTAATAGGTTATAAATTTGTTTTATACCCTATTTACTATTTAATTAGGTCAATTTAAGGCCCTCAAGGGCCTGTATAATAGTGGAATTCAACATAAATCCAATTCACCAATATGATTGAGATATCGGACACACAGAGTGAGTAAAAAACATCGTACATGGTATTTTTATGTTAAGTATTGATTATCAGTAAAAACTGCTTTCTCATAATAAATACTGCATGTAGTCAACAAAATGCAATCTTAAACATACATTACAATAAGTAATGAATATTGTACACTCTTGTTTGTTTCGTAATCGTATGAATGTTTAAAGATACCCAAGTCTTGCAATATTTACTATTCAAACATACGATAATTTACGTAAATCCATTTATATAGCAAATAGCAAGTTATAATATGACTAAATCTCACGAAATATGTTATAAAAACTTTCAATAATGTAAATATTTCTTTGACAGAAATTGGCGTGGGCCTTGCGGGGTTTGGTATGACCTTCCTGTTCCTTGGGGTTCTCTTGTTGTTTGACAAAGGTCTACTAGCTATTGGAAATGTGAGTTAAACATAAATTTAAATCATTTAATATTAAAAATCTAAATATCCACATACATTCAAACTTAATAAATCTTCAGAAATCATAGGTTCGAATCCTGCCATGTACCATGATGTTTGAATTTTCTTTGTCCATTCTTATATTGAAAGAAAACATTTGTGAAATAAATATTATGATATACATGCATGCACATATTGGCAAAGAAATTCAAACATATGTGTAAAGTCAACCCGCAGTGCAGCATGGTTGACTATCCTTGTCACTAACTTAGGGTAGGCTACGAGCCCCTCGGTGGGGATGTATAGTGAGCTGATGATGATGAAAATTTAATCTTTTTCAGATTCTCTTCATAAGTGGTCTAGCGTGTGTGATAGGCCTGCAACGGACATTTTTCTTTTTCTTCCAACGGCACAAAATCAAAGCATCGGTGGCATTTTTTGGTGGCATCACAGTGGTGTTGCTAGGCTGGCCGATGTTTGGCATGATAGCTGAGATATATGGATTTCTTTTATTATTCAGGTGATTTTGTTAAAATTTTGACAACACTGGAAATGCCTTGCTTGATGTTAAAGCTTGCTGTAGATAAAATGTGCGCAAGTAAGAATAAAACACGCTTTGTTTTTTTATCATTAAACAGGGATTGAGTCATGTGTGAAGTTTGTGGTAAAAATTTGCTCTCTACCCTTAGGGAGTTTTTTTTTTTATTATATCATAAGGTGGCAAACAAGTATGCGGCCTGAATCCGCTAAAATGGCGAATAAACCGCTGCCCATAGACATTTGCAATAGCAAATATGTTGCTTATCTTTTGTCGACTGAGGAGATGCACATAAAGAGTATATTTCCCCTTCCTATGCGTCCTGCATCGTCAATCAACATTCAAAATGCGGTTGCTTATTGTCAGCGGTCACTTTTCTATTTTAAAGAATTCCAGTGTCCACTTGATTGTCACTTTATACTGTAAAAAATATGGAATTGGTATGTTTACAAACTTTACTATCACAAGTCACAGAGCGGGCGCACTTCTGACCAAACTGTCACACAACTGTTGTGCGATTGTCGATTGTTTCGCACCCATTCTAGTGTTTAGTTGCACAACTAAAGATCGAGTAGTGTACCTCCATATAATCTCATAGGAAACAAAGCTTGTCTAAACAGTTGCTATAGTCAAGTCAAACTTGTGCGCACACTATTAAATAAAATACTGCAGTTAACTTGGGGGCCGTCCATAAATTACGTCATCGATTTTTTCAGACCTTAGACCTCCCCCCCTACAATCATCCTATCGTCATTTCTTAATAACCCCCTCTTCTCTCAAAATTGACGTCATTACCAGTTTGACGAAATTAAAACATTGCAGATTTGAGAAAATAGGGTATTACGAGTATATGATTAAAACACCTGGTTATAGAATCACTTTTATTATTTTTACTTTGGCAATTGGATAACTCCCACGGAGTTTTCACCCATTCATTTAAATTCTGGCTCCCGGGTAATATCTACTAGGTGTGCTGGAAGAAATTTCTTTTTAGAAATAATCTTTTTGTACATGAACAATAAACTGTAATTAAATAAATAAGAATGACGTCCCCCAAACCTCCCCCCTCCTATCTATCATTTACCGTCATCCGCAGATCAACCCCTCCCCTAATCTAGATTGACGTAATATATGGACGCCCCTTGTGGAGAAATGTATTTATTTATGAAGACTTTATGCTGTTTGTTTTCCAGAGGGTTCCTTCCTGCGGCAGTTAATTTCCTCAGAATGGTCCCAGTGTTAGGGTCGCTGCTTAGTTTACCTATTATAAGAGGGGTAAGTTATTTGATATACTTAAATAAGCTCTCAATTGTGTATAGATTAAAAAGACAGTCACCGTATTTGGTAAAGAAGGAATGAACTAGAGACCCCTTCCCTAGGAAAAGTACATATATACCTCTGTGCCTTTTGTCCGTCTTAAAGGTAAAAAATATAGTAACCAATTTTTTTTTAAATTATCATACTTGTGTAATGTATGGATGGATGTTACTATGTCCAGAACGACTCAATATATTATGAAATATAAATGTAGAGCACTTTGGAAGAACACTGATTCACAAGTTTTTTTTTTAATTCACGCAGACGGAGTCACGGGTGACAGCTTAGTTTCTAGATATTTTTGTACCTGTCTGCTTACAAGGCCATTAAATTGACACAATGTTTTTTTTTTTCAGATCGTAGACAGAATAGCGGGCGACAACGGCCGTAATATGGTATGATATAGTGTTGCCATATGAAAAATAAAGACTTACGTTAGTGTTAATCTTGAACGTGTATATTTTATCTGTACGTGCGTTGTGTATTTATTGTACGGTGTTGCCAGTAAATAAATAATTGTGAATGTGGCTGATTGCTTTTTATATATTTTTTTAATTCCGTTATCCGTTTGGTCTAGTCTTTGAAATGCAAAACACATAGAATGGATTCTTAAATAGTTATATTTTGATACAAGATGTACTTTTTAAGTTGGGGTTTTTTACTAAATAATAAAGTTTTTAAAAAGGTAATGAATTTATTCGGAGTCGTCCATTAATTATATGTTATGTTATAATGTTTTACCCCCCACCCCTTGTAGCATGGGCGTAGCCTTCCACTAGCCCCCATTAATTATTGATCTGCCCCCCCTTGACTATAGATCTGTCCCCTATCCCGTGGCCATAGATCTGTCCTCCCCCTTGATCATCGATCTGTCCTCCCCCTTGATCATCGATCTGCCCCTCCCCCTTGACCATCGATCCAGAGGGAAAGTGGGATATGACTGAAAACATGTGTGAAATATATTCTTTGCCCACGTGAAGTTGGAGCGGATCGTTATGTATACTAATATTTAAAAAGGAAAGATTTATATTTTTGTCTAACTCAAAAGCCACTGGGCCGATTTTAAAAATTATTTCACAGTTAGAAACGTAATTTATATGTGAGTAACATAGGCTATATTTCTTCATTTCACCTCGGCGAAGTTGTAAGCAACAGCTCCCTTTTTAAATAATTTGTTTATTAAGAATAGAAATGTACTTGATATTTTTGTCTCCCCTGTTTGTGATTTTTCGTGGTTTTTTTAGTTTCCTATGATTAGTGGACGATTCTTAAAATATATGAAGTCAACGTATAAATGTACGTAGACAAGAGGGTGTTTGATTTTGAATGCTTTCTTATGATTCCAATTTAATTTTCTATGTAAATAGTGTTTTTATGTAAAGTATGTTTACATTTTGTCTTATTAAACGTATAAATGATGTTGTGTTGTTTTTCTTTGTACGAATCTGCCTTTAGTTATACAGAAAAAAGTAGTAAAGAATCGTTCATTTAAAAAGATTCAAATAAGAAAAAATATTATTGAGAATATACAGATTATATATGAATTATTAAATAAAGTAGATAATATTATATTTTAGTGTTATTTACCTACTGTTATAGTTCGAAAATGTATGTTTTTGAATTTTGATTAACTCGATATAAAATGAGATCAGCGACATCTTGTATCAAAAGTCGGAAACTCTTAGACTGTGAAGGAAATACACGACGAACGTAAAACATTATAAGTTATCCATTATTGAAATTATAATTATTTGCAAATTCCTTCTGTATCTCATAATTATTTTTATTTTCACAGGATGAACCAACATTATGAAAATACTAAACCTAAAGTTTGAAGACATTCCAAGAATTTGCTAAATCCGAATTTAAGTCAGTAACAATAAAATTAAAATTGGTTATAACAACTTAAAAGAAAAGTCATAGTAACCAATTATCTTTATAATAAAAGATATTAAAATAACACTTGAATATCTTTGTTTATAACTGGTATTTTTAAAACACCTCGGAAACATAAAAACCTCTATAACTTCAAAAAATAATATGTTCCTTTCCCATCAGAGCCCAAAACCTCTACAACATAGACCCTTGATAACTTAAAACCTCTATAACTTAAAATATATTGTGTTTCCCTTGGACTTTAACTTATCGAGGTTTACTTTATTGTAATTGCTATTTGAAACAAAAGAAATTTGTTAAATGCATTTACTTTGTAACAATTTTTGAAAACAAAACAATGTTATTAAATAATAATTTCAAAACTTTTTTTTATTTAAAAATCGTTCTAAAAAAATTTTAATTACTGTTAAACATGCTTTAACTCGGCATTTGCTGTTATCTGATTTGAGATAGCGTTTTCATTGCGCTTAGCTTACGTGACTTTAGTACGGTGACCATAATTAGAAAAAATAGACTGTCCCATTTAAATTATACCATGTTTCAAATAAAGACATAAATAATGTAACAAAGTATATTACTTAAAAATCATCTACAATTCTATACAGATATTATAAAAACTCAAAAACTACTGGGACGATTTCAAAAATTATTTCGCCATAAAAATGCTATGTTACCACAAGTGATATGGGCTATCCTTTTTATTATTATTTTATTTCATGCAGGCGAAGTCGCGAGCAACATCCATAAGTAAACATATTTACTACTAAATTACTCTATGTTCGACTAAATCCCTAGTCTAGCACGTACTAGGCAATTGGTCCTTATATCCTATTTTATTAAAATCCATAGTCATATTAGTTCCAATTATGTAAGACGGTAAGCAAATGTTACTTAAAAGATAAGCTAAAGTGAAACTAAAATATAGCATAAATGTAACTTCAAAGTAATTTAACTTTAATTATAAAGGTCATTTAATTTTAAAGAATAAACCTCCAAATATCATTTATTACTCAAGGAGTAGTGTACAGAAACGTTAATTGTATGGGCGTCACAGCCATGTTATGCTTTAATAAAATATAGTCTTCATTACCTCTTATGTTTTCTTCCAATTTGCACAGAATAATCTTACCAACATTGCCGTCGTGTCGTCGAGCTAATGCAACACCCATATTTTTGAGATCCGACTACTATCCGATTATTAACATAACAAGCACAATTACGACATTTTAAAACCATGACATAAATATTTTAAAAAACGCTTTGGATCACCATTACAAAGTTATATCGTTATTTCAAACTATGACCAATAACATTGATTTATAGCACAGACTAAATAATCTTCAAGAATACAGAATACATCAAAATAGTTAAAAAGCTAACAATTGGTTGCTAAATGACTTTTAGGGAAAAATTCTCATATCTACATTAACTAAAACTTTTGTGTGACATTATAATCTACGGAACTTCATCAGTTGGGACGCACGCACTTACTCACGCGTGTACTCGGATTCATACACACACATGCAATATCACACACTAAATTAATTGTAATAATATTATATTTTCCTTTGTTATGTAGCAACTTACTCTTAATTAAATATGATAATGGATAAGAGAAGGTCCTGCCTCCTGAAACACAGTTATAATTAGTTCAGGAGACAGAACCCCAATGGATTTTGTAAAAATATTTTTTGTCTAATAAGGCGTTTTTTATTTTATTTTTTTATTCTAGACAATAATCTTAGAACACCCACTTGAAGCTAAACTATCGCACAACTGTTTAGTCCCGTGATTCCTATGAATTTATCTGGAGGTACAATAATCGATTTTTAGTTGTGCAACTAAACAGTTGAAGGCTGCGAAACAATCGAAAATCGCACAACAGTTGTGATTGTCCGTTATTAATTCTTCAATATCGTTAAAATATTCATTATTCAAAAAAAGAATAATATAACTTTCTTTCTAAGCGAATACAATAGGTTTCCACATTTTACAATTGCAACGTGTACCCCCTACTCATCCCAGGTGACGCGACCTACTCACAAGATGGCGTCCGCGACTTCGCGCGCGTAAATTAGAAATAAAAAATAAACAATACGCAATTATTTGTACTGATTTTTAATACAATTTTCGATTAATTATTAATTATTTAAACAAACATTCAACTACTAATTTAGATCGGAAAAATCTAGATAAATCCACGCTCGCCTACGTTTAAAAAATCTCTGTGCATTGTTATGCTTACAGTCCGTTAGTTGTAGTTGTCTCTTTCATATAACAGTATGTTAAAGGGGTGCCGGGGAGAAGGGATGGGGTTGAAAAGATATACTGAATACTTAAGCGCAGGTGTAAATGTTATTTTAATTACTTCCACTTTTAAAATAGAACAAAGATTTGTCGACTGAGTTTTCTATTCTTATAGAATACTAGCTTTCGACCGCGACTCCATTCGCGTGGAATTAAAAAAAAATAGCCTATGTGTTCCTCCGTCCTCCAGATATCCATCCATCCATCTAAACTTTCGCATTTATAATATTAGTAAGATATTTATTGTTTCTTTTAGTTTTTCTTTACAGTGATTTCGCAAATCTATTCTACAGGAGTTTTATTTAATTGAATGATTTTCGAAAAACGAATTTTTAATATACGATAGTTGCAAAAGTGCTGAGATCTTGCGAACTTTGTCACATAAATTGTAACACTCATTGTGTTGTCAAACTCGGTCATCGATAAAATGTAGGGGGCAGCACTGTGTTACTACTCCCACATTGGTTAGCAAATACGCCAATCTTTACGCTGAAACTGAAAAACATTCCAAGCTTATGATCTTTTAATTAAATGTTTATATACATTTAATGCCTTATATGTAATAAGATAAATATACTAATTTATTGCTTTAAAAATATAAAACACAGATATTCAATGTTTGACAAATATTCAACGCGTATAATGTTTTAGGATTGGTCCATATTCGACCAACGTATACATTTTCAGTGATCGCTCGAGCCCGGGCAGACGTGGTCGTGTGTAAGGCGGTATTGATTTATCGTCAACGCCTCTACTAAACAAATGTAATACGCGACACTTAAAATGTCCTCTTCAATACATGAATAAACAGCGTGCAAAAACATCTATCCGGTTACATAAATGCTAAGAAAAGTGATAAATTTACGTTCAAAATCCCGGACTACATCTAGGATCTGATTAGAGTGAGAGAGTTGCACGGAAAAAGGATAGGTTGAACGGCGCCCACTCGATGTTTTAATAAATAGATAATTAAAAAAAATGCGACCGAATGCTTTTGCCTTTTAAAATTAAAAAGTTTAAAGAATGTGACGAATCAGTGCTTTTTAATTGTTCTTTGACTGCTTGCCCCTGTTCATCCGTAAGTATATTTTACAATTATTATCATAATACTAAAATTTAATACGCAAAAGAAAAATATAAAAAAACAACAAACATTTACATTTACTTTTTCAAAAATAGTACAATCGTTTTAAATATAATCTGTACTAAAAAAATACATCATCAGTGGCATAAAGCTCGTAACCTTTGGAAGATAATTAAAAAAAAAAATCATTTTAGAACGTGATTCGCTGTTAAAAATTTGAATTTCGTTAATGCTTAATAAAATTATGATTTGATTTATTTGTTAATTGATGTTTTCTTTAATTTCAAACGTTTTTTATTATTTGAATTGAAAATTTTGATATTTTATTATAATGTAGAAGTAAAACCCTAATTTTAAAACCGGAACAATTATATTACTATTTTTAAAAAAAACAATTAAATCCTTGTACGAATTTACGGTGACATTAGTAAAGTTAAAATGTGAATAACGGGTTAAATTGAGTAAGGATTTTTATGTAAGGTATTGCCATTTTATTTGTCATAGACTAACAATCATAATACGAATATCAGAGATTAAAAAATATGTTTTTTTTTACTATTTTTAAACATTTAACAAAGTTTGTGGCCATTGACGCTCAATAGTTAATTTGGCTATTTAAAAAATCGCTATGAATCCTCAACCAATAGCTACTTAAATAAGCCCATTACTAATGGTAGAGTTATCAAACGATTTCATACGACGCCATTCACCCATTTTAATAAGGGATGGCTTATGCATCCGGGATCGTTTACAATGTCCCGAACATTTCGAAAAGGTCACAAAATCCCGCGGGATATCAGAAAACTCATATCTTATACACCCAAAACATTTTTGTGATGAAATGAAGGACCATTTTCTATTTGTGTGAGCATTTTTGATTTCAATACATTTATATGGTAACTAACAGAATAAAACATTTTACACTAGCTGTTCCCGTGCGGCTTCATCCGCATGAAATTATGAAAATTTTATTTTATTGTTTACATTTGTCAAATTATGAATAGCAAATGTCAAAATGATATGACATGACAAACCTTGACAATCTTGCATCCTTGATGTTGGCAGCAACTTATAATCTATTTCCCACATTTGGGTTTTTATCCAAAATATTTATCCCCTAAGTTTAATGGCGTGAAAATAAATGACCTAAAGTGTGACGTAAGTGTAGGGCTTTTCATTGAAAAAAAGAATTTTCAAAAAAACAATTATCTTGTTGCAATCACTTCGCCGTTTTAACGACGTAGCCGCAAATTCGTTTGCTACCATGTATAGTAAAAATTGCACGTAGGGACAATATGGGTAAGGCAACCAATAAGGTAATAGTGAGTTGCAAATGAAAGCAATTAGCTATTATGAAAGACCGATAGTTTTTCGTAGTCATATTTGATTCTTTTATTTCTGCCTCTTAGAAGGGATTATTCCCAACCGTAACCCCGCTCTGTCCCCACGTGGAAACAGTGGGGCAGAGCAGAGAGACAGTGACAGTGGTTGTGCCCGCTTTAATATCTTAGCACTGCAGCGCCGGCACGCCCGGAGTAATACCACGACCGCACAGAAGACAGACGTGAATGGAAGCAATTCCGTATTTCGTCTGATGAGTGTGGTGCCGGATGCCTAATTTAAGTCCCTTTCTCTTTACCACCCTTTTCTTATAAGGAGAGGATGGGAAGGGGAAGTAGATTTGACGGAGGAGGAGATATTCTCTATATGTGCGTCTCCTCCTTTGTCAGATAAGGGTAGGCAAGGAATAATCCCTTAGAAGTAATGGTTTCGACTATCATTGCGTACAAAAAGTTCAAAAGAGCGTTTAGCTATAGCTTTTAAGGTGGTATATCGTCAGAATCCCCGATAGTACTTAACTGAGAAATACTATTGAGTCCGTAGTTTAGTTTTACGGGATTTTCAGTATTACCTTAAAGCAACGCATATCGCTTACTTTATTATTATTTTTTGATCGATCTCACAAAAGAAGGAGGTACTCAATTCATCTGTATGTTTTTTGACCGACTTCCAATAAGAAAGAGGTACTCAATTCGTCTGTATGTTCTTTTTTAATGTGTGTTACGGCATAACTCCGCCGCTAGTGGACCGATTTTGATAATTCTTTTTTTATCCGAAAGGTAATGCTTGCAGGTGGGTCCCATTTTTTTGTTTGATTTTTGGATTCGAAGACTACGATGATGACACCGACATCAAAGAAATAATAATTGTACAATATAGACATAACAGCTACAATAAAAGAGGTTTACTATTTTCAAGGAATTATTACGTTACTTTTTAGTGTATTGTTTTTTTGGAGATTTTTTTAGTTTTTAGTGTATTTGGTTTGGAAGTCTGTTTTGTTTTTTTTAATTTCCAGCCTATTGTAATAAAATTTGAATAGGATTTTATTAAGTCCTGTAACAACATTGCTCCTAAAACAATACAACCTCGATGTTTGTTCTGCCTCAATTTATGTTAAAACCTCCCTATCCTTTATACATAGGAAACGTTGTGAATATTTTAACAAGTGACCCGCTATCGCTTTTGTGAGCGGACGTTTTTTTAAACACAAATCCAAAATAAGACTGCAAAATTAAGATGTATCGCCAGTAGCTCGTAGATTTTCGTGTATGTTGAGATTTCTTTTGTCTTCCTGGTAAGTTTTGTTTTGTTCTTCTTTTGGTGCCATCTCCTAGCGAAGGTTTGCGATCTTCAGCAGCTTGAACTCTGGATACAGCAGCTCGAAATATAAAACGCGTTGTTTTGTTGTACAATCGCGGAAATCTGCGGTCTTCATTGCAACGAGAAAAACTCCGCTTTTTACAAATAACCAATTAGATAGCAGTAAGTGGTGTAAACGAAGGGATGACAATAAAAATAAATTAGCCGTTTGTCGCTGTGGTTTTTTTAGGTAGTCACGTTTAAAAGTTGTGTTCTATTGATTTTGTGTAGTTCACCTGCAAGACAATGATAGGAAAACAATTCACGTGACGCACGGAACGTGTTAAGTAGTAAACCAGAAATGTAGTACGTCTATCTATACATAATCTTTGACCATTCGATGCTGTTTAATTGTCAAATTTGACATTTCAAAGATGCAATTTTTTGTTCTATTATGTATTTTTTTTAGGTTAATTCTTAACTAATTAATTATTTTAGACTATTTTAAAAACTTATTCAACACAATGAATTATAAAGCAGAATGTAGATTAAAAAGTGCAATCATCTCGCTATTCAGAATTTCATTTTTAAACATTCTTGGGCAAAGAGTTTCGTAGCGTGCGGCCATTTAAAATTTCAAGTAGGTAATTATATTCTGTACAAAGTTTGTGAATGTATACGAGTTCTTTTAACGTTTCGTTTCTTTTGCGGTTTTTGGGGATCTGACAAACTTTACCATTTATTTAGTTACACTGTAAATAACAGAAACAAAGCTCTTTCAATTTTATTTTTAATAAGGATGCAATGGAGTTTTGTGACAGCCAGTATTTTTCACGTATTTTTTTAATAATAATAAATCCTTTATTATAGTTTGTCTAAATAAGATAGATTAGTTTGATAAATGACGCATATGAAGTATCGAATTCAATTTGTATGAAGGTAAATGCTGTACTTAATAGACAGGTATCGTAGTGATGAAACAAACACGCAGCGAACAATTATGAACTATCGATATTCGGTTTAAATAATTATCGAACTCAACTAAAATTATTATTTTCTTATTAACTAATTTATAGGACAATTCTAGTATTGATTATAGTGTAGAGAATCTAGCGATGATAGAAATAATAGCGAAATCCAATTCGATTATGTACGGCTGTAGTAGTAATAAACATTTAGTTACTCTCATTATTTGTTATGGTCATTATTAATTTGAGAAAACAGTGTTTATTTTAAATTCATAAATTATAACTATAAATCTATCGATTCTTACTTCTTAATAAAAATCAAATATCGATAAGATTCATGACTGATTACACAACCCATCCCTACTAAATTTGAAATGAATTGTCAAACTAATCTAAATTATTTAAACACACTATATTAATTGTAACTTCACTTTTGTGTTGTCTATGTTATATCTTTGTTCGGTATCGGTTCGTTCCTTGGAGATCTCGGAACCTTCGATTATGTTACGAGGATGGCCTCCGAGAGGGTTTTAGTAGGTCAGATCATACATAACCCTGCCTTCCCCCAAAAGGCAAGATGTCCCCCCCCCCTCGGAAAAAAAATGAGGTTATATCTTTGTCACCAAGGTTTTATGTAAAGAAGACTTTCCAGCTCGTTTATAAATCACTTCTATTGCCCGGTTACCTATAGAATAATGTTTAAAATGGCCAATAAATGTCTTCACAGATGATAAAGGTTTTAGAGTAAGGAATATCTTATTTGACATTAATAAAAATGTATATGGCTAAAAGTTTAATTTTTTAATAGCTTAATTATCAAGTAAAAGTCGTGTATTACGATTTATCTTGTGTTATTATGTTATTACTAGTTTTCTCCCTAAACTTCGTTGGCGTTGGAAATTTAAAAAAAATGTAAATGTTTTTTAATCTGCAATAATTTTAATAGCAAATCTGTGCAAAATCGAGCTCTTTATGCATACATCTACTTCAACTTTTGCATTTAGTAATAAGTAAGATTCAATAACCACACAATTTTATTATTATTGTAGTTTCAATTCTATTATTATCTCCATGTATCTTTATTTCTTATTCTCTATATTATACATTTTACAAGAATATAAAAATAAAATATATAATATAAAAAATAGAGCACCACCAGCTGCGGAATCCGATGACTCAAGCAACCAGTGGTCAGGGCTACAATCCAACTGTCTAGTGAGAGCTTCTTGAGGTGTTGGTCGAAGCTCTTCGCTATCAGCCCGTGTGCCGAAACGACTATCGGAATAATGGTAGTCGATTTCATACGCCACATGGCGGTAATCTCGTGAGCCAAATCCAAATATTTTAATAGTTTTTCATTTTCGGCTTTCACGAGATTCTCGT